TCCATCTTTGTCTCTTTGTACTTTGTGGTTGAACTAGTTCCTGTCTGTCCTGTGATGTTTTGGAGATCTGTAGCTGTTCCGTTTCCCTTCCAAAATCATCAGCGTCTGCATCTCTGCCCACAACTTCTGCCTGTCACGAACGCTGTGCAGAAACGCCATGCACCTCCAGAAACGGCTTCTTTAGAGAAAAAACCTACAGATGGGGGGGTGACATCCCAACTGGCTGGCGGGGGGTCAGTCATTTGTGGTGGAAACTGAGAATGTTCCAAATGTTAGTCTGGATATGACGGGTCGATTTGTATGTCTTTCGGGTACCGACCGCATGACTCTGGGAGTTTGATGCAAGCTGCACCGTTTCTTTCAGGCCTTCTTGTTACTTTCGTTGAAGGGAAAACCATTTCAGCCTGTTTTTCACAGACTCGTCTGTTTATTTTAATCAGAATATTTTTAAAACCCAAATGTAAAGTTCAAGATACAATTTTTTATTTTCCAATTTTATTTTATGAGATGAAGTAATCTCCCTTCTTGTACTGGCAAAATTTTTAAGGCAATTCTTTTTACACCAGAGCTGCAATTTTTCGTTGTTTGCGGGTTTTATTTCTGCTTTCTTTGCCAGGGCGCTGTTAATGTTTGTATCCGTACGCGTTTAGTCAGATCAGCTCTTATTGTCCCTCTGTGTTAAGGTTATTTAAAGCATATAAGGCTACTTTCACATGATTTTTGTGCCCATATGTAACTCGTATCCAGATTTATGATCATTCCGCCCCCCAAAGCATTTGGATTTAAGCCACTTTCATCTGTGGTACCAAATCGGATCAGAATCCGATTGTTTTCAAAGTGTCTGCCGATAGATTGTGTCATAAAACTGTAAGATCCCTTCGCTTAAGAGTTTAAGAACACTAAGAAACCAGCATCCACTTTATATAGAAAGAGCTCTGTTGTGCGACGTCCACATTCTCTTGTTGGACATTTGTTTAAACGACTATGCAGGAAAAATTTGATTTCTGAAAAATAATCTGAATTTAGAGTCAAGACCTACCAAGTGACCTTAATAAAATGTTCAGGGTTCGTACACCTTTTCCAAAGTCAAAATCATGCACTTTTCAAGCACTTTCAAGATCCATTTTAAAACTTTTTCCAGCACCTTACGGAACCAGTTTTGCACGGATTCGAAATGAATACATAAAACTAAATCCTATCTTAATTTGTCAGAGCACACGAGGCAGATATTTATTTTCTACTCTCAGTTTTAATTAACTACTTACCTTTCCACATATAGTTCACCGATGATGAAGACGACAACCATGTTTTTTTGCCCCAACACGTCTCCTCGGATGATCAAAGAAAATTACTCCTCTGCCATGGCGTAGTAATATAACCAACCAGAGGGTGTCGCAATTCAGTATTATCAGCCGTAGAGTTATCAATGCTGTTTTAAGGTCTGGGCCTGGCAATGAATTAAAACTTCGGGTTTTTTGGGGTTTTTTTTAGAACGTTGGCGAGGCGGTACCGTGAGTTTGGCGAGGCGGCCGCCTCACCAAGATAGTGCTGCGGGAAACACTGCAATACTAACATTACATTATCACACCGTACTCTCAGTCACTCAGTAACTTAGCCTGTGAATTCCTAGCTAGCTAGCGTAAACAAATAGGCGCTAAGGTTAACGTTTACTAGGCTACTTCAGTTGGCTTACTTCTAGTCTATGACTTACCCTTCATGTGACTCGACAGCGCAGACTCGCCCATTCTGAAAAGCTGCACATCTTTTTTGCAGGCTTTACAAGAGGCAACTCGTGGGGTTTGTCCCCGTTTAATCCATAATTTGTATTTTTCATCTTCCAGCCAACGTTCATTGAAACGACAACATCCCGGCATGGTGCAGTAGTGGTTTCATGGGGGCGGAGTCACACATGGAAACAGACTGGCAGATCGCAGTCACACATAAGCCAGCAGGTTTCATTTTCGGGCTCTACAACATTTTATTTCTCCATTTAATAAACACACGATTCAGTTAGATAGGCATTTGTTGCAAAAGAAATAGTTACAATTTCAAGCATTTCATCCAAAATATAAGCACTTTTCAAACCTTGAAAACACAACGTCAAAATTCAAGCATTTTCAAGGATTTCCAGCACCCGTACGAACCCTGAATGTTATGGAGTTTTAATTTCTAAAGAAATATTAGCTGTTTTCTGTTTTTCTGACCTGGAAGCAAGACGGACATGCCTTTCATGAGATGATGCCTCTGTGGGTACCACCCACAGTTACCGCTTCTAAGGGTAATTCTCCTCTTTAGGAAGGCTGAACAAACTCCAAAGCCTCTTGAAGCAAAAACCACAATTTCACAACTTAGACATCATCCAAAGCTAAGAAAACAGAATAATAATTGTCGTTCTGCGAGTAGGTGCTAAAAGACTCATCTTTGAGCAGAAATGACCATGCTATGCCCAAAATCTACGCTCACTATTCTGAGAAAGGGGGGTGTGTTGTTTCATGGAGAGCCATGGTTTGGTGAAGGTAGACGCGTCCTGGAGGGGAGCGGCTAATCGCTGCTCTATGTAGCGCTGTTAAGGCCACTCGTTCTTCCAGAACAGGAAGGCTCTGCTGCTCACTTTTATAAAGATTACTCAGAAATGCATGAATAACATAATAATTAGACATGATTTTGATAAAGGAAATCCATGATTACATCATTAATAGCTCAAGAAGTGAGTTTGTTTGTTGTAGGTCCTTTAAGCTTTACACTTTAATCCAGGAAATCCAGGTATGAATGAAGGAAATCCAGATGTATCCTAAAATAAGGGAGCAGCTGAAAGGAGTCTTAAAGTCAGATGTGTCGTAATTCACAGTAACAAATGAAATCATCCATCCACCCATGATGGCTGGATAGAAAATCTCTACCTCAGCTTTGACACATGTACCACCCAACCCTGCCCTGTTCACTCTACACCCATTTCCCTTTTTTATGTTCTGCTTTATCCGTATCATGACAATACTGCTTCCTCTGGTGCTATATATATATATAATATAGCGTAATGCAGGGGTCCCCAACTTTTTTTAAACTGAGAGCTACTTCATCTGTACCGTGTCACGTGAAGGGGCTACCAATACTGACCTTTGAACTACAAGGGTCAGCGCTTACCAATAAACATATTTGCAATGCTTTATTTAATTTAAATATTCTCCTTTTTAAATCTGTAGAAGTGTCAGTGTGATTACAAAAGTAGAGCAACAGACTAAAATAACCTTTTAGAGGCAGCTCACTGGAAGGTTGTGCTAGTTTTAGAACAGGCTTGACGGCACCACATGTGGTCCTTGGGGGCTACCTGGTGCCTGTGGGCACCATGTTGGTGACCCATGGCGCCAAAGTGCAAAGTGTGAAACATGGATTCTAACCACATTTCATCTCAAAGCATTTAATTGAGATAATTAAATCAGACCATCAAGTCAGATAAGTTCAAGTTTTCTATCTAAAGAAAACAAGCTAATTGCATCCTTTGTAGGAGATGCTTCTCTCAGATGAGTATCTGGCAACAGTAGATGTTCGCTTGCATTATGTCGTTGACTGCGCAGCATCCCTCACACCTAGCATGCATGCAGTGACGGTGGCAAGACAAAAAGTCTCTTTTAATTGAAAGAAACCTACCAAGGCCGCCCGGCGGTTGAAGAAAAAGAAGAGAGAACAGACAAACAAAAGAGGCATAGAAGCACTGAGCTAAGATATGTCCTATGTTGGTAAAGGTAACGGCAAACTAGCTCCACAGATGGCTATGTCTAGAAGTTAAACTCTTTAGCAGACAACCTCTGAGCCAGTTTAATGTGAAAAAGGATAAGAGTAAATTAAAAGTTAGTCACATTAAAAGCTGAACCCATAGTTATGTCTAGAAGCAAAAAAGGACTAAACACTGAAGAACAGGCCCAACTCTATCATCTGTAATCGGTGTTGATGGCAGCAGCCCAGCTGATTTTTCTCTCCAGGATGATGTCACAGCCAAACGGGAACAAACCAGACGAAGCTACTATGACAAGAGGAAGAACATAAAGTTATGAGGGAGGCTAACAAATACTGTAGAATGGAAGAATAGAGAAAGAATGAAGCAGAATGAGGAAAAGCGTTTCCTTTGTCCTCCAGCATCCTAAGCCTATAGCAGCATACGCTATTGTGACTTTTAAATAGGAATTAAAGTATTCAAGCTTCATAGAACAGAGTTAAGCTTTATTAAAAAATATATAAAACTTTTTGGTAATATTCTGTTATATAGAAAACATTTTTACACAACATCAAATTAAAACAAATTTAACCTAATGACACACTATATAGGAGCTTGGTTCCAATTATCTGTACATTGAAAACAATAAAAAAGTCATAGTAAAACTATTTTAGCTCATAGTGAATCAAAATTAAATGAATAATCTCTAGCAAAAGCGATGGATGCCCTCATAATCTCAGGTATAAAACTGTTTAATTTGTGTTTTGTAGAATGTCATTTTGAATAAAAACAGCCTATTTTCACTGAGCTTTATAAAGCTGTTTCTTTTCTTTAAATAAAATCAGCTAAAGGCTGGTAGAGAGAAGGAACACCAGATGCATGTGCGCTCATTTCTGTGTTAAAGGGAAGGCCTGTTTCCATTGATAAGAGGTCCTTGTGTGTATTTTGAGCCTGAGCTCATTTGTATTGTGCGATATCAGAGCACGGATAGGGGGCCAGGGAGCGGGATACGAATCTTATCATGAAAAAGGTGTTGTGTTATGTCAAATCTGAGCAACCACAGGACTCTTTTTTTTGTTTTATTCAGGAAGCGTGTCTGCACATGAAGTCGGAGTTTCATTATCATTAGATTTGCATTCTTGTAGTCAGGAACTGACCTTTTTTATTTGACCCTGCAGCTGATGAGTAGACACTTTAGATTTATTTGCTGAGTACTTGTTCACTCAAGAATAAAGGATATTTTTGTTCCACTTTTCTAAATACATTTCACTTTTTGGCTTCTCTTTCACAGCTGGCAACCATGAAGGGCGGAATGGCAGATCGTCTAAAGATGGGAGTTTTTATCATCATGCTCGTGTCAGTTGGTAAGATAAAGCCACTCTTAGACCACACCCTCCTTTGTAGGGAACTTGTTTATTAATAGGCCAGCTAACTGTGGCTCAGTGTTCTTCTGCATTAAAGGAAAATTCCAGTTTTTAACACTTTTAGCCCCTTTTCTGTAGTGTCCAGGATGAAATCGAATGATCGACACCAAAATTTTGACGATTGGTCCTGTCTCGGCTATTTGGCTCATGCAGAATCTCCCCCTGGCTGCTTCAGAATGGCTTCCATAGTGCATGTCCGATAATGTCCTTAAAACAACCTTAAACGTTCTTTTTTTTAAATATGCTACTCACCGGGTCGTCAGCGCTGTTCAATGACGTTCCAAAAAAAGTCTGTGAAGAAAAACCGTTCCTGTCTTATTTTATTTAGCATTTTGTAAATCCCAGAACTATTTTTTCCGATACATCACAACCGCTTATAAACTTCCGCTTCCCGTTCGAATCTGAAGCGTTGCACACTCCAGACCACTAGTTGGCGACGGTATCCTCTACCGTCAAACTCAAAGTCCAATATGTCCTCCTCAAGAATCCACCTTTCGTATTCCATTTTCAGAGTTTTTTTAAGTGTTTAACAGAGACGTTAGCACCTCGACGTCGGAGTACACAGAGTGAAGCAGAAACACTTGGGCCTTGCGAAAAGACTACAACTGTGTAAACAGGCCCCATTTCCGTTTCCGGTGGCGGAGGGATATTGACTATTCCAACAAAACTCAATGGGATTTAAAAAATGCTAAATAAAACACTACAGGAACGGTTTTTCTTCACGAAACTTTTTTTGGAACGACGACACGGTGAGTAGCATATTTTAAAAAAAGAACGTTTAAGGTTGTTTTAAGGACATTATCGGACATGCACTATGGAAGCCATTCTGAAGAAGCCAGGGGGGGATTCTGCATGAGCCAAATAGCAGAGACAGGACCAATCGTCAAAATTTTGGTGTCGATCATTCGATTTCCTCCTGGACACTACAGAAAATGGGCTAAAAGTGTTAAAAACCGGAATTTTCCTTTAAGGATTTATTTACACTGACAAAAAAAAAAAAATAAAGCCTAAAGAAAATGAAAAAAACTATATTCGGTATCTTTGTCCTGGGTAAGAAAGGTTCAAATACTAACATTTGTAGGGCCCTATAAAATTTAAATTCCGTATTATATTCCGTATTATATTTTCCCAAATTCCGTTTTTTCTGTTTTATGTATGTATTTTTTGCACTTCCAATCAATGGAATGTTGACAAAACTTGCAAAACAATAGTTCACCTGACACGTAAAAGTCACGAGGGAACTGCTCGGCTCTGTACTCAGGGCTTGGTGTCGTGTTTCTCAACCTTTTCGCTGAAAGCAGAGCTGTGGAGAACCGCTTCGCCATTTTTTCAATGTTTTGAATCGGGAGCGTGAGCGGAAATGACGGAGCGGGAGGGGTTGTGTCGCCCAGATTTGCGTCCCCCTGTGTGCATTTCCCCCCGACGTATGTTCTTCTCCCACACAAAAACAGAATTTCATTTCATATGTAGAAATTTCGCGTTTACACTAGATTCCGCGTTAATTTCCCAATTTGATCGCGGAAATTATAGGGCCCTACATTTGTCATGACTTAGAACAAAGGACCCAGTATTCAAGGCGAGACAGACAGTGTTTGAAAAACACTGTCTGTTTTTTTTTTTACAAAAAGTGTTTGTTAAAAACCAGCTGATCAGAGTAGCAGTTGCTAGGGCGTCTAAGGCAGGATACTCTGCAGGAGAGAAACACAGGTAAGTGACCACGATAATCTGATGGATATGATTATGAACGCGTGAGTGGAGTTCAGTCCGTGCCGAGAGAACGAGGAAGGATCCAGCCGGCGCCGCCCAGAGTGTCCCAGATGATGCATGCAGGAGTTTGAAGCCAGACCAGGCAAACAGATCAGAACAGGAACAGGTAGGCTCAGTGGTTGAGAGGCAGAACAGTTCAGGATCAGGAAATCAGAAACGCCAAGGAACCCTAAAAACACTAACCACTGGCTAGAGAGAACAAGATGATCTGGCCCTGATAACTGGATGCAAGCACCTTAAATAGAGGCAGGAGCAGGTGGATCAGATGAGTAGTGATTAAAAAATGGCCAGAGTTAGACAGGTGAATGAAATGAATAATTAAGCCAGTCATCAACTCCAAGATCATGACAATCTCATTTGTACTCATTGAATTAGAACAACAAAGTATCTCTTTTTTTCAGTTAAACATGTGCTTTCTACATATAGACTGATATAAGATATCTATGTTTGTATTATTGACTAAAGGCCACTTATAACCATGAAAACACAGGACAAATTAAAAACCATTTAAGAACAGAACGGTTCAGTTGTGTAGACTGATCACCTGATAATTCTACAGAAGTCAATCATAGGCCAAATCACACAGCAGGTTTTAAGGCCTAATTCTGTTTTTCTTTTTTTTCTTTTTTTTTCCTGAAATACGGTCTTTTAGGCCTGGTCTGTCTCTCTCTTAATGAAATACAACCGTTATCAGACTTTAAATGGTTCAGGACATCACAACGACCCACAATCACAGAATAATGTAGACACCACAAGGCAGTGCACTTTTGCCACTAGAAGAATACAATAAAGCTTTTGAAGAAAGAAAAACCTGATGGTGGATGCTGGCCGTTTGTGTGTTGTAAGACTTTTCCACTATTTGAGTCGAAAGTATCATAAATACAAAACAACAACGAAAAGAAAAGGTAGAACAAGCCAGCCCAACTCATAGCAATGGCTGAATTAATTCAAAAACGTTAATAATGTTAAAAACAATCCACTGGACTTTGTTTTCCAAGTTTGAAGACATTTAGCTTCCCATCTAGGAAGCTTTTTCAATTGAAAATGTCTAGATTAGCGTTGACTTCAAGTTTTTTATACCACAGCCCAACAAAACCTTGTTATGGCTTAGAAAACATGCAAATTGAACCAATAGAATTAACCTGACTCCACCAGATGGATTTGCTCCGCATATCCATCTGGAAACCTTCCGTTGAAGTAATTTTGGGAAGGGGCGAAAATACTGGTTAGCTGATTGGCCTATGTTGGTGATAGACGGGCCAAATAAACCAATCAGATCAACGAAGCATATGACGTACTAACAGAGCGACGACGAAGAGGAGCCAATTGATAGATCAAACTCTTGCCGAAACCAGTCGGGAGAAGAGCAAAAACATCTTTTCCTCTGAGAAAAGCCTCCAGAGCAGTGTTTTGCTCTTCTTTCAGCGAAGAAATACTCTTTAATTCCGATAAAACTTGCTCGATAGCCACGCTAACGCTAGTTTCATCGGCTGAAGCCGCCATGTTCTTTAGACTGAACTGTCGCGCTTCTCGTTGCGTCACACCTCAATCCCGCCTCAAAGCCAACGCTGATTGGACGTTCGTTTGGTGAACGGCTCCAAATTTTCTTTAACGGAGAGTCTCCAGACTGATCTGCGAGTGAAACCTTGAAAGCTCGCGAGATCAGGATGGTCTCACGAGGCTACAATAGAATAGGTCCACCCGTTAGTAATGGGGAGTTGTTGAGGTCATTGTTGACCTGTAAAACCCGGTACTGGCCTATACCTCTGAAAAGGGAATCGTTAGGGTAGCTGTTGGCCTTGCTGACCAGGCAAGATGTTTTATTCCCCTGCATAGCGATGGAGTTGAGATGATAGCGGGAAGGAAACGTCTTTTTTTTTAAATGACTATGACCTGGATGCATTGCATTGCATTGAAAAGGGTGAGGAGAGTGAATACAGGACCGTGGTGGGCAACTTTGTCACTTGGAGTGAGCTGAACCACCTGCAGCTCAATGTGACAAAGACTAAGGAGCTCATAGTGGATCTGAGGAGGACAAAAACACCTGTGAACCCTGTTTCCATCCAGGGGGTTCCTGTTGACACTGTGGAGGAGTAGAAGTACCTGGGAGTGAACTCTAACAATAAGTTGGACTGGACTAGAAACACAGAGGCGGTCTACAAAAAGGGCCAAAGGCGACTATTCTTCCTGAGGAGGCTGAAGTCCGTTAACATCTGTGGGACCATGCTGAGGATGTTCTGAGTCTGTTGTTGCTAGCACGCTCTGCTTCGCTGTCACATGCTGGGGCAGTGGGCTGAGGGTCGCTGAAAACAACAGACTGAACAAACTGATCAAGAGGGCCGGTGATGTTGTGGGGGAGCAGCTGGACACCCTGACCACCGTGGCAGAGAGGAGGATGCTGTCCAGGTTTCAGTCTATCTTAGACAACGACTCACATCCTCTCCACAACACGCTGGTCCAGCAGACGAGGTCCTTCAGCAGAAGACTCCTCCTACCCAGACGCTCCACAGAGCGCCACAGGAAATCCCCCCCCCCCCCCCCCCCCCCCCCCGTCCGTAATTGACATTTATGCACTATTTTTGCACGCCACGTATCACTTTATGGGACTTTTCACTTTATTTGGATTTAGTTTTTACATATACATAGATATACATACAGATATATGTACAGAAGAGCTATATGTGTATATATATTTTATCTCTTTTTATTCTTATTTTTTATCTTATTATATTGTATAGTTGGATGTGTGTATATATCATGTAAAACTGTAAATAGAGCGTGTAACAAAAGTAATTTCCCTCTGGGATTATTAAAGTATTTCTGATTCTTATTCTGATGACTGAGATATCCCTCACCAGCATAGGCTGACTTAATGGAGTTGGTACTTCAGAGAAGTCTTTTTTTGTTGTGTAGTGGGTAAAAAAATTTGTTCAAGAAAAGAAGGATTTGTGAAAGAAATCTTCCAATCTGAGCTTATTTTGTGTAGAAGGTGTGGTAGCTTTCACATGCTCTGAGTCAGCTCTGCTGACACAGGAGGTTTCTCTTTGACCTCGGAGCTGTTTTCAATGGTGGAAGGAGTATTTTAAGGGTCAGCACATCAGCACATCCTTATATAAGAGTTCACGCTTGTTACAGAGATGTGTAGAAATGACCAAGCCCTGTAGGATGGTGGGGGGGGGGTCGGATCGGACTAGGGCCAAATTATCTTCTGTTTATTTATTTTTTCTTCTAATATTTCCTGCTTTTCGTTGGTGTTTGTGACATTATTTTCCACGCAGTGTCGAAAATAGTTCCTGTATTGAGAATTTTGTTGTATTCTGAGGAAAAGAACCTTGGTAACTCTCTGACTTGTCTGATCTACTACAGTAAATGTTTTGGTCATTTTTTTTATTAAAAAATCTTTTACACAAACTGCTTGTCTGAAAGTGATTGAATAGGAATGAAGCACTTTTTGTGCATCATGACGGTTTGAGCTCCTAATCAACACCTGCTTTATTTTAGCAGCTTCAGATGAACATGACCTTTTCCTGGAGTTTTGCGGCAAATGGCGACACAACAACTCCGACCTGAGTCTGAACATCAGCGTCTCTGAGGGCTGCTCTGGCATCACTGTTTCAGCCAACGAGAGCTCTTTGTCTGTCAAAGGAAGCGTCACAGCTAAGTGTAAAAGGATGGAAGTGATTCCTCTCATGAAGTATCCAGAAGAGGATCTAGACTTCTGTTTGTACTGGGAGCCTCTGCTGGACCAGCTCACGCTTGAGGTGAATTTACCGTTCCTTTGGTGCTTTTCTGTTTGTCTCCCATTATTTTTGCTTGGGATCTTGAATGTAAGGAGATTTGCTTTCTTTTTCTTATATTATTTATTAGGTTGAGAAAGAAAGATTCATTCTCTGCCCTCCTTCAAGTCCTGCAGAAAAATGTTGCACTGATCTGAGTCAAATCGGGATTGCGCTTGATTCACGCTATGGCATCGCCGATGCAAGAGTCCGAACTGATGGCGTTACAGACAAAACCAAGTCAAGCTACAGCTTCCATGGAGAAATCACCAACTGCAGTAAGAATGAATGGATTTGGTGGAATGAAAAATGTGGAAAGGGAATCAACTAGAATAGAGATACACTGCCGTTCAAAAGTTTGGGGTCACATTGAAATGTCCTTGTTTTAAGGGGAAAAGCACTGTACTTTTCAATTAAGATAACTTTAAACTAATCTTAACTTTAAAGAAATATACTCTATACATTGTCAATGTGCCTGTAACAGGCTCTAACCAGAGTAGAAAAAGAAGTGGGAGGCCGCGTTGCACAACTGAGCAAGAAGATAAGTACATTAGAGTCTCTAGTTTGAGAAACAGACGCCCCACAGGTCCCTAACTGGCCACTACAATAAATAGTTCCCGCAGTAGCCTGTTTGTGCTGTCCTCTGAAGGGAGCAGTACACACCGTTGTAGGAAATCTTCAATTTCTTAGCAATTTCTCGCGTGGAATAGCCTTCATTTCTAAGAACAAGAATAGACTGTGGAGTTTCAGATGAAAGTTCTCTTTTTCTGGCCATTTTGAGCGTTTAATTGACCCCACAAATGTGATGCTCCAGAAACTCAATCTGCTCAAAGGAAGGTCAGTTTTGTAGCTTCTGTAATGAGCTAAACTGTTTTCAGATGTGTGAACTTGATTGCACAAGGGTTTTCTAATCCTCAATTAGCCTTCTGAGCCAATGAGCAAACACATTGTACCATTAGAACACTGGAGGTATAGTTGCTGGAAATGGGCCTCTATACACCTATGTAGATATTGCACCAAAAAACAGATATTTGCAGCTAGAATAGTCATTTACCACATTAGCAATGTATAGAGTGTATTTCTTTAAAATTAAGACTAGTTTAAAGTTATCTTCATTGAAAAGTACAGTGCTTTTACTTCAGAAATTAGGACATTTCAATGTGACCCCAAACGTTTGAACAGTAGTGTATGTATATATATATATATATATATATATATATATATATATATATATATATATATATATATATATATAAAATTGTTCTATGTCCATTTCTCTAACATTTTTTTTTTTCTACAGAGAAATTGTGTGACCAGGCTAACCAGACCTATGTGAAAGGGTACGTCTATTTCTGTTTGTGAAAACCCCCTTCCTAGTCTCTTTTTACTAATTTGACTTTTGATGTGTGCTTGATTAATGTAATTAAGCTCACATCTACAAACAGGAAGCGAAACTCTAAACATTTTTTGTGTAGATGAGACAGTGTCGCTTTTGTTGAGCTTTAAGATGTGGTTCTCTGTGTGTCTCTGTTTCTGCCCAGGTCTCAAAATACTCAACATCCCTGCGCTCAGAAATTTGTAAAAGAGATAAAGAAAGCTATCAGTGATGAGAAAGTCTCACTTAAGGTAAGATGGCACAGACCACAGTTAATAAAAATTAGGTTTGCATGAACAATATTTATATATCTACATATATATATAAATTTTTTGTAAAGTTAATATTAATTAAATTAATATAAATCAAAGTTCTTATTCTGAATCACTCCACTCAATTTCAAACGATTGGTTTATGTAACCAAAGATGAGTTAAAAAACAAAACAAACAGGCTCTAACCAGAGTAGAAAAAGAAGTGGGAGGCCGTGTTGCACAACTGAGCAAGAAGATAAGTACATTAGAGTCTCTAGTTTGAGAAACAGACACCTCACAGGTCCCTAACTGGCAACTACATTAAATAGTACCTGCGGTAGCCTGTTTGTGCTGTCCTAGCATTTTCCATTGTCCTTACAGTTTCTATTATCTATGTTACTTTGTTAATTGTTAATTGTCATGTAAGGTAAAGGTTCTAGGTAAGTATTTTTTTCTTAAAATAAGTGCATTTTTTTCTTGAATTGAGGAGATAAAAAGACGATTTAGATTTAAAATAAGAAAACACAATTTCATTGTCCTATTTAAAGTGCATATTATCCAATTATCTCATTTTAAGGGTAAAAATACTCATTCCATTTGCAAACTATCTGATTTACCTATTGAACTCAAGGGTAAATACTCTTAATTTAATAAATTTGTACTTATTTCTGGATCATTTTTCCAGTGCATATTTCATTATTTTCTTTCTTCACCTTCCAAAAAAGGATGTCTTTAAAACAAATTACAACTCCTAAATCTGAGGGAAAATGTACTCAAAAGAAGTGAACTCTTATTTTCCCGGGAACAAAATCATTTAACTTGACAAGCTTTCTCGTGATAAGATTAAAATGTAAAGTTAGACACTTTCTCCTACTCGTTTTATTCCACTTATCCGGGTCCCAGAGGCAGCAGCCTCTGCCGAGATTCCCAGATTTCCCTGCAGCCCTGCTGGAGGAAGACCCAAGGTGCTCCCAGGCCAGCAGAGAAACATATACCCCATTTACACTACCCTTGAAAAATCGTGCCGAGACCGGTCCGACCTCAGAAACTGAGATAACTTATGGTGTGTAAATGGAAAGCAAACTGAACTGAACCGAGCTAGACACAACCGGACCGAGATAACTGCAGACCAGTTCCAGAGGTGGGCTCGGCTCGGTTTCTCCCTGGCTCGGTTCTCTGATAACAAGATGAGCAGAACGCGCCATCTCCGTCTGGCTGCACATCCCAATTCACACTCCATTCCAGTAGGTGGCGGTAATGCCCCTCTGGAAACAGAAGAAGAACAACTTCTTCTTAAACTATAAACAACAATTGAAATCTTCTCCACACAACATTTTAAATAATAGCACCGAAGTACAGCAATAATAATCAAGCATAACTTTCTCAATGTGACGGGCGCCGCCATTTTGATTTACTTGATTCCCTCCTTCTTCTTCTTCTTGTGTTTTATGGCAGTTGGCAAACAACTTTTGGTGCATCACCGCCACCAACTGCTTGATTTCCTCCTTTAGTACTGGCAGTAATACCGCAGATCGTCACTAGGAGGCGAGGAACCGAGATAGCGTGATGCGTAAACGGTCGTCAGAACCGAGCTCGGCCTGGTTAACTGATCCGAGCTCGGACCGGTCTCTGCATGGATCGGTTTTTTCAAGGGTAGAGTAAATGGGGCTATAGTCCCTTTGGCGCGTCCCGGGTCGCCCCCTGCCTCCTCCTGGTGAGACATACCTGGTACACCTCCCAAAAGAGTCATGCAGACGGCATCTGAAAAAGAAGTCCGAGTCACCAGGGCTGACTTCTCTGAATGGATCCTTTGTAGGGAGCTCATTTTGCCACTTGCATCCAGGATCTTGTTCTTTCTAGTATGATCCAGATTTGACTATAGGTTATGGTAGGAACGTAGTCTGAATGATGAATCAGGAGCTTTGATCACCATGTTTGCGTTTGATCACTGCTGCACTTTAAGAAATGGAAATGACTTGAGAGCTGTACAAACAAAAAATTCGTTGGTTATACACTGTGTGTACAAAATGACAATAAAGTTAGTCTAAGTCTAAGAGATTAGCCTTTTAGCTCAACTCTCTTTTCACCACAGCAGACCGATGCAACGTCTGCATCATAGCAGCAGACTCTCCAATCCGTCTATCGAGCTCCCAGTACATTTTCCCACCAGCCGTAAAAAGGAGCCAAGATACTTAAACTCCACTTGAGGCAGCAGCTCCCCTCCTACCTGACGTGGAAAAGCCACCTCCTTCAGGTGGAGGAACATGTCCACGGACATGGAGGAGCTGATCCTCATCCCTGTGGCTTCACACTCAGCTGTGGTTTTATTATTGACCAAAATGCTTCGATGGGAAGTAAAGGAGAAAAGACATTGACAAAAATGACAAAGATTTTAATTTCCCCTTGAAATAAAAATCCAAAAAATCCTTAAAGCTGCTCCTTAAGAAATGAACTAAAACCAGTGTTTTTAAGCAATCCACCATCCACTGCAACATTACAGCAGACTAAGCAACAGCTTTTCTAGCCGACAAAAGAGAAAATTAAGAAGACTATGACTTCACTGGAAAAGCAATCTAGAAATAAGTAAAACAAATATAAATTAACTGTAATTACCCTTAATTTGAGAAGATAAATGAGAAAGTTTGCCAATGGAATGAGTATTTTTACTCTTAAAATTAGGTAATTAGATAACATGCTCTTGACATAAGAATTATATAATAATAATTGTCTTGTTCCAAAGCAAAATTGCTGTTTTACCTCCTTAATCCAAAAACAAATGCACTTATTTGAAGTAAAAATTACTTCTCTAGATTGCGATTTTTTTTCCAGTGCTGTCATTTCACCCTGCAAGTTTAACTTGCACTGAAAAAACTATTGCAGTTTAGAAAAACATCACTTACAGTTTAAATCACCTATAGTTTGAGTCCTTCCATGTTCAGTTTCACACTGGAAAAACGATCTAGAAATAAGTAACTATTTCTTAAATTAAGTGTATTTCCCTTAATTTGAGTAGGTAAATTAGATAGCTGCCAATGGAATGCGTATTTTTACTCATAAAATAAGATATTTAGATAAAATGCACTTGAAATAAGACAATGTAATTGTGCTTTCTTATTTTAAATGTAAATCGTCTTGTTCCATTGGCAAAAGCTGCCTTCTACCTTCTCGATTCAAGAACAAATGCACTTATTTCTAGGGATGCAGGATATCGGGATTTTGGCCGATATCCGATATGCCGATATTTTAAAACTCATGTAGCCGATAACCGATATCGATACCGATGTTAAAGCTGGACAAAAATAAGTAGTCATTGAAAATAGCAGTTTTGTTATCCATTTCTGACACTTGGAAAAATAATATACTCAAATACATTTTCATATGCTGATATCAAATAGATTTTTAAAAACGCGGTATCGATCTATTTTACTTTCAAAATCTGGTGAAATTTCATCATTCTGTTACAAACTCTCGTGATATTTTGCAAATTCTTGTGAGATTTTGTTAGTAAAATAGATCGATACCGCGTCAATATATCAACATATAAAAATATGGCAACATTTGGTGAATTTTCGGGGGATTTCGTAGCATAACGATGACATATAGCAATATTTCATTAGTAAAAGAGATTGATATGGTGTTTTTAAATGGCAATATATCAGCATATGAAGATATTGTGATATTTTAATGGATCAATATTTTTTCCCTCGTCTTTAGAAGTTTTTAATTCTGTAAAAAAAAGTTTTTGAGGAAGAAGTAGTAGTATTTTTATTTTTTTAGACTCTAGAAACTCAGAAACTGATCAAATATCGGGTTAAATATCGGTGGGGTGGCCGATGTCCGATATTCAGTTTTAAGGCTGATACCGATAGGGGGCCGATTATATCGTGCATCCCTACTTATTTTAAGAAAAAATTTCTTATCTAGATTTGAATTTTTTTCCAGTGCATTCACTGGAAAAAATCAAAATCTAGAAAAGTAATTTTTTCTTAAAATAAGTGCATTTTTTCTTAGATTGACGAGGTAAAAGAGACATTTTGCCAATAGACCAAGACAATTTACACTTAACATAAGAAAAAACAATTGCATTATCTTATTTTAAGAGTAAAACTACTCATTCCATTGGCAAACTATCTCATTTACCTACTCTAATTAAGGGTAAATACACTTAATTTATTTCTAGATCATTTTTCCAGTGCATTGAAGCTCCTGTGTTTGCAGCAGCTTTCAACGTGCAAAGGGTTTGCTCCTACACATGGAGGGCAGTTGTGATAAAGAAAATAGGTGAGAGGGAAACCACATCAAAGCAAAGAGTAGCTGTTCTTCACTGACAAGCAGAGGATGCTTATAGAACGCTGACATTTTTAAGCAAAGTGTCTTAAAATAAAGTCGTTTAAAGAGGCAGCCAGTAATCAGCAAACAGATCCACTCATTATAGTTGCACGCAGCAGGCAGGAGGGGTTGCATTCACACAAACGGCTGCAGTTTGGTATATTTTGGATCTCAATCATCTTTCATTGCACTTCTGACTCAGTAGTTTTCCACTTATTTGAAAGGTTTTTACTTGTGAAGTGGAAACGAATGTGTCAAGCATGCCTGTCACATTCCGTGTTGTGTTTTCTAGGGCACTCCTACTGTCTCCATCCCATCCACCATGAAAACAAAAATGAAGGTTGAAAACAAAGTGTCCGTCACCTTTTTTAAGAAAAACTCTCTGTTCCAGGTAGGCCGCCGTCTTTCCCTCCATCTTTGAGCGTCTCATCGGCCCTCGGTTGTCGTTTCTTTCTCTGCTGCATGCTTTACTCTTAGCTCTGTGTGAAGTGGTTATTGTTGGATGCTAAACGTGTGTTTGTGTGTGAAATCGAGGTTGGCTACGAGGAGGTTCAGCTTCTCAATGATGTGGTAGAAATCACAGTGGAGAATGAGATCATCGCTAATCTGACTGAGCCCATAAGCATCGACTTTCACCATAACCTCCTACCTGTAAGTATTTTTAATAATAAAATATCAGTTCAAATTTAGCCTTTTTGCAATTGTGCATTGAAATGTTGTAAAAGTTTAAATTTAAATCAGGTTTTATGGTTCATCAGTTCATTAATTCAAACTAGGGCTGCAACTAACGATTATTTTAAAAATCGATGAATCGGCTGATTATTTTTTCGATTAATCGATGAATCGGACAAAAAATATTTTTTTATATTAACCTCTTTATTCAAAAATAAACATTTTAGACAGAACAAACAAGCACACAAGTACAGGTTGCTCATTAACTGTACTGGTGCAATATGAAAAATAAATGTTTGTGTTAAAACTACGCAAACTTACATGAGAAATGTAGCTGTACATCCACAAAATATAGGCTACTTTGTTTCATAAAGCGCAAAAAGAGACATTTTTGTTTTTAAAACCCCCTAAGGGGTTCAAACAATAGGCCCCCCCATTTCAACAAATGAGGTTTTTTTAGACTAGAAGAGTTCTGCCTTTTAAGACAGGAAAGTATAGCAGTTAAAGTTGCTGCTTGAGAAAATACTGAACCATAGAGATAAAAATAGCCCTGTGATTCAAATTATAAATTGTATTTGGAATAAAAATGAGAGAACTAGGGGTGCTAAAAACACATCCTCCAAAGACAGATATTTACATGGAAATGTGGCAGATAATTAATTGACATATTACTGATCTTGATGGATTTTATTCTGCTTTACTTCCATAAATTGCAGGATCTTCTTTACTTTATCTTTGCCAGAAGATTTAAACTTTAAAAGCCTTGCCCTCATAATTTGCAAGTTAATTTATTTATAAAGTAAATATAAACGCTGCTTAAGCTAATTCAAATGAAATTAAAAGTAAAATAAGTAGCCAACCTTCTCACTGTCTGTAACCTGCTAACACGTTAAGGAAAGCATCAGATGAGCTACCTGAGAAACTAACGTTACGTTTCCCCACTTTAAAACCAAACAAACATGGTGCTTCCGTGCCATGTTCATTTGTTTTGACAAAAGTTGCATGTTACGACTTTTTTCGCTTTCCAAAGCGCAGGCTATTTTAATTATTGTGATCAATTTGCGCCGTCAATCCCGGCGCATGCGCGCTTCATTTGCAGTCTGGACGCTGAGGGTAAACATCCTGCGGCTCTGACTGCAGCGCTGAGAGGGACTCCTGCAGGAGAACGGGGTTGGGATGGGGGAGGCGCCTCACGGCAGAGTAGGAACGATACATGCTTTCACGTAAGAGTCTCCAAAAGCCGCCAGGGACACCGTAAAAAGTCGCCAGATTTGTCGCTAGTCGCTCTTTTGAAAAATAGTCGCTGGAGGGGTCTGAAAAGTCGCCGAGTTGGCAACACTGCCAACGCTTTTAAAAGTCGATTTTTATCGATTTTATCTATTCGTTGTTGCAGTCCTAATTCAAACTGGTGATTTTAGTTCCACTCATCATCAGTGACCAATCTAATATATCCTTATTTTTACTATGAAAACTGAATGTTAGAATGATGCATTAAAGCTGTAAAACAGACAGAATACTACATACATGAATACATTTGACTTGATTTGGTAGGAACTAGAGAAGCACTGATCTGCTTTTAAATATTTAGGAAAATACTAGAAATCTAAGTTAGATTAAAAATGTCTGTAACAGCAGAAAATGTTACAACTTTACAGGCTAAAAGCCACCACAGTTCTACAATAGAAACATTGATCACACCAACATTTAACCGCTAAAGAATAACATTTAATATTTTGCTAAATTGTTCAACTAATAAATGTATATCTATATATTGAGTATATACGCTTTGGTATAGAAGTGAAAATTGAGCCGTTGCACAACATGAACAAAGTATTACTATAGATGGATAGATAGATAGATACCGTATTTTCACGACTATAAGGCGCACTTAAACGTCTTTTTTTCCCCTCAAAATGTGCGGTGCGCCCTATGGTGCGGTGCCCCCTATGTTTGTTGTAACTGCGACTTTTGAGACCACCTCATTGAGGAGATGATGAAAGAGTGGCTGAATGTAAGGAGACCAGGTGTTTTTTTTCCACTCATCACCATCGCTGTTAATACGTAACTCCATGCGTGCCCATCTCACAGCTGATGTGAAAAACATGGGGAAACAAATTAACGCTGTGCTCGCTGTTCAACCGCTCGACATCGGTGTGAACCGGACCCAGCAGGTGCAGCAGAAGCAGCGAGTTTACATGCAAAGTCAATGGTTGACGCGCGTATAGGCGCAGCAAAAGGTCCCGCAGCGCGTTTTGAGCTGCAGGTGCAGCGCGTCGGGAGCGTTTAAGCATCTGCCAACGCGCTGCTGCTGCTCGAGATGGAAAAATTGAAGTTTTGCTGCTGGACGCGCCGCATCAACCAATCAGAGAAGCTGATCTGGGAGCTGACAGCGAGACAGACACAACGCTCTGATGACATATGATATTAACGCAAATGAAAAGGGCTGGATGGATGATGAGATGATGAAAGGCAGGTGTATGTGAGGAGACCAGGTGCTTTTTTCCACGCATCACCATCGCTGCGTGCCCATCTCACAGCCGATGTGAAAAAAAGGTGAATCAAATGGACGCTGTGCTCGCCGTTATCCCGGGGGTCTGACAAAGGAACTTCAACCGCTCGACATCGGTGTGAAGCGGCCGTTCAAAGTAAGGCTGCGAGCGGCGTGGGAGCGATGGATGACAGACGGAGACCACAGTTTCAGGATAAGTGGAAGGCAGCGCCGGGCAAGTTACGCCACCGTTTGCGGATGGATTGTAGATGGACTAACGTGTCTGCTGGCTCTGTTGTTCAAGCTTTCGCAAAAGCCGGCATTATTTCTGAGGAGCTGCGCTGCACGGAAAGTGACTCTGACAGCGAAGAAGGGGAAACTGTCATGTCTGATTTAGCGCAGCTGTTTAATTGTGGGGATGATGACTTTGATGGGTTTGATTAATACTTTGTAATAAATACATGAATAAAGCACAAACATACTCAGTTTTGCTCCAGCTCTATTTTTCTACCTGAAAACTTAATTCAACAGCAGCCTCTGGGCGGGTCTCCTCCTCTTCACCGCGGCGGCTGGCAGGTGTTTTTTCATCTAAATAATCTAAATCTTGCAGCTATATTTGCTGTGATCAGTGGGAATAAAGTAGTTTTAATATGTTTTTAAGTGAGAAAGGCCACCTGAAAACTTAATAATTGCAGTCAGTTCATCCAGATTATCTATTTCTGTCGGAGGCGCTCAGACCCCCACATACCAGCGGTACACCGACAGTAAATCCCTTCAACAGCAGCCTCACCGCGGCGGCTGGCAGGTGTTTTTCATCTAAATAATTTACAGTGCAGGCACCAGGATACCGGCAATAAAAGCGAACATATTCCGTCGGCAGGTTTCAGGATTTTAAGTTAATTTAGGAGTGATCACAGCGCTGTGTCATCTGCGATGTGTCTGTCTCACGGCCAGCACCCAGGTTTGATTAATACTTGTTAATAAATACATGAATAAAGCACAGTCATACTCAGTTTTGGGCCCGCTGTATTTTTAAAATACGCAGTAGAGGTATTTAAAGGTAGTAGAGGACATGTACCTGTATATAAAAAATGCGCCCTATAGTCCGGTGCGCCTTATGTGTGTGTTAAATACAGAAATGGGACACATAACTGAGACTGCGCCTTTTAGTACGGTGCGCCTTATGGTCGTGAAAATACGGTAGATAGATAGATAGATATTTGTATTAGGACTGAAAAAGTGTATCAGAATAATCACGATTAATCGATTATTTAAGTAATCATCAACCAATTAGGTAATCAATTTTTCGTTATTCGTTCCTTGGTGTGATTTATATGTTTAGGATTTGGGAAAAAAATGGAAGAAAGTTCCCATCCCTGCATCAGAGCGCTACCTGTTTGATCTGTGGACGGTTTTCCATCCTTGTAACCAAACTAGCAGCAGTAGTGGAGTTTGGAGATGCAATCTACTTCTTAAATCTACATTTGCTCTCCTCTAATTTATCCAGAAGTTCTGCAATCACCATTTTTCTCTCCCTCCCAGCTTGGTGGTTGGCTGCATATTTAGCTTGCCTTTCCTTTATTTTATTTTTTGCCAACCTCTCATTACCAAGCAAAAATGCAGGCAATCGTAATGCATTGATAATGAAAGAAAATGATTCGGTCCATCCTTTGAATCTTCCTTTTTTCCCTTTGGGATCCACGGTCCGAGACACTCCAGCAGCTTTGTTTGCCTGGAACCGTGCAGCGCTGGTTGCAAGTTATGACCACTGATCTCTATGGCTATGATGCAAATTAATATAATTATTTTTGGTTTGACCTCCTGCACACCATATTAAAACAAAACAACAAAAAAAACTTGATTTTCAGAAATTTTTGAAAAAGCTCCAGGGAGCTAAAGAGCCGCGGGTTGCCTGATATAGAGACTCACTGCTCACTTAGAGCAGTAATTACACAAAAATTGTAAAATAAAATAAAAAATATATATAACATTTTGCATTTAAGATAAAAAATCTTTTTCATCTGTCAATATGCTCTATCCAGAACTCCTCAAGTGGAAACCTCTTAGGCCCCGTCCACACGAAGTCAAACCCTGGCCTAAACACACAAATTTTTCACCAAACCAGCCTCTCATCCATACGAGCCGGCGTTTCAGGAGGTCTGTAAACGATCTTTTTTTTATTAAGCCTTCAGAGTGGGAAGATTTTGAAACGCCGTTTTCCATCTTTAAGCTCTAACCGCATTTTTTTTCTTACACGCATGCGTCATAGCGTCGCCTCTAAACACGCATGCGCGACACAGTATCACAACAACAATGGCGCCGTACTGTGTTGAATGGTTGCTGCTCATGCTACTCACCCTGCTGACGGGCTTACAACAGAATCTTCTTCTTCTGGAATATCTCCAGGAAGAACAGAGCAATATCGACCACATAGTTCAGCACCTGAATTTGACTGAACCACGAAAATGGACCCGCAGGGCAACCATGTATAAATATTACTGCGCATGCCCAACATTTCGTCGCCTATTTTTGCTTTGGCACCACAGCGCCACTTACAGGCCTGGCATACATTTTGCAGCGTTTTCATGCATTCGTGTGGACGATCACATTTATTTTACGTCTCCGTCTTTACGACAAACGATATTAGCATTTCGTGTTCGTTTTGACTTTGTGTGGACGGGACCTTAGTTTCACCTGGTTTCATTTCGTAAAAAATCTACTTTAAGGAGAGTAGATTTGAGGAATCTGTTGCTAACTGGTTAATAATCTATTAAAGGTACACTATGCAACCGGTGTTGATTTTCCAGCGAGGCTCCCCCCAGAGGGCGAAAGTAAAAGTGCACTGTCGTAAATATGCACAGCTGTTCTCCTGGTTTCTCCGTCAAGCCAGGCGCGGTTGTTTTGAGCTTAGCAGACAGGCGAACGCAATGAATGACTAATGCTGCGTTCACACCGCAGCTGGCGCGACAGAAGTAGCGAGTTTACATGCAAAGTCAATGGTTGACGCGCGTCAAGGTGCAGCAAAAGGTCCCGCGGCGAGTTTTGAGCAGCAGGCGCAGCGCATCTGATCAGCTGAAGCAGCGCGTCGGGCGCGTTTAAGCATCTGACGCAGGGAGAGAGACACAGCGCTGTTGATCAGAGGCTATGATCTCTCTCCTCTTAAACAGTTTATTGACGCCTAAATTAACTTAAAATGCAGAAATCTGCCGGCAGAATATGCAGCTTGGATTATTTAGATGAAAAACACCTACCAGCTGCCGCGGTGAACCGCCAGGAGGCGACCCGGCCAGAGGCTGCTGATGAAGGGATCCCTACTGTCGGCGCACCGCTGGTATGTGGGGGTCTGAGCGGCTCCGACAGAAAAAATATTAAAGGCAGGATAATAATCTGAATGAACTGACTGCACTGATTACGTTTTCAGGTGTATTTTCTCACTTAAAAACCTATTAAAACTACTTTATTCCTACTGATCACAGCAAATAAAGCTGCAAGGCAGAGAAAGGATAGTGAAGCTCCGCCCAACGCGCCTCAGACACACTTTTGCACCGCGCAGCCAGAGCAGCAAAGCTGCTTCAGCCGTGCGCCAGAACTAACTGGTACAAGCAGCAAAAATGAAGCAGCAGACGCGATTTTGCTGCGTCCGATGTGAACGTAGCATAACTGCACAAAGATCGCCACTGTGCTAGCAACGAGCATGCTTTTAACTGGGGGCGTGTAGCAGTTCTCGCCGTAAAGCAAGACTGACTCTAGCGAGACTTCTGAGCCTGTGGGTGCGGGTCGGTGCTCCTGCAATTGCAAGTGCGGTATTTCCCCCACAGACCACCAGGGCGGCCGAGAATACCTTTGTTCAACCTGAAATGACTCATTTAATCATCCAAAACGTTATGGAACACATTAATTACCTGAAAAATGTTGCATAGTGTGCATTTAATCAGAAAAATAATCGACAGATTAATCAAATTGCAAAATACTTGTTAGTTGCAGCCGTATTTTGAATATCACAGTTTTAATGTTTTGATTTGTAAACTGAAAACCTTTATTTGTATTTTATGTTTTGGCCTCTGTAGAATTAGCTTCAGGTCAGCGGCTGTAAAATGTCGTCTTACTATAAACACTCATTGTTCACTTTAATAACTTTATGTCAGTGGTTGGGAGGATGGGGGGGGGGGGGGGGGGGGGGGCAGTGATCTTTTCACACAGTTCCACCCTTTTGTTTATCACACAGAGCTCCTTAGAGAACACACAAAAACCACCTGTAGGTTTCTGAGCTGCTCTCATATCTCGCTAACCCAAATGTCTGCAGGTGACATATTGCGGCAAAGCACGCTATATCTACCAGAAATGGTGTCAAGAAACAGTTTATTTCTGCTGCAGCAGTTGGTGTTAAAGTCAAACATCCAGGTTTTCTCTCTCTGAATAAATTATTGTTGTTTTTTTCAGTGGAACTATAAAAGGAAATGTGTTTCCTGGGACACTCTGAAAGGTTGGAAGTCTTTATTTTACAGTCATGAAACCTTTTTGCTTTAATTAAGCACAGTGTTTTCATGGGGTTTTGTTTCCTGGTGCAGATCCCTTGAAGGTGAACTGGTTGGTGGATGGATGCATGACAAAACGGAAAGGAGCGAAGCACACGGTGTGCGAGTGTGACCATCTGACTTACTTCTCAGTGCTGGTGGTGAGGCTTGATGCTCGTAATGATCTTTAAGATAAAATAAACTACTCTTGTTTTAGTTTCCTTATCTTTTAACATTGACCTACTTTGCTTTTTTTGTTTTTTTTTGTTTTACAAACACCCTGATGTTCTTCTCATTGCACTGTTTTCTTTCAGCAAATGGAGCTTAAACCAGTGCGCCACCTACTGGCCCTCTCTGCCATTTCCTCTGTGGGCTGCGCTACATCCTTCATCAGCTGTGTCGCCGTCATCATCTTTTTCTGCAGGAACAGGTTCAACCACTTGCTCAGTTATATTAAGTGCTTTTTTTATTTCATGATAGTTTGTTTAGGAACTATGTGTATCTGGAAGTAAATTTGGTAACCATAGAGATAATAAATAAATGACTGTTTTTTTTAACTCTTGAACTAAACATAATTTATTATCTTTCTTCTAATCAGGGTGTCTACAAGTATAAACAAGTTAAATTTAATACTTTTAAAGACCTTTTAATACCACTTTTAAATGAAATTTAAGACCAAACGTACGATGGAAATACTGTACAAATCAAAATGACGGTTGACAACAAACAAAAGACAACAAACATGTCATTACAGTCCTAAATTATATTTATTACAATATTTTCAGAACATTTAGGTCCCATGAACAAATGCTTATAAAATCTATTAAATATATAAAATACTGTTCCTTCAGAACAAAAATAAACATAAATTACAATTTCAGCTGCTTTCAAAGTGAAAGACATTTACATAATACAACTTGAGTGACAACTATTGAATCAACCAAAATTAAAAGATAAAATAATAATAATATTAGACAACTTGGCACTTGAGAAAGCCTTCCCTAAAGAGTGTACTTACCCATTTATAACAATGTGCATGTGCACAAATGAACATATGAACACTTGAAAAAAATTGCATTAAATCGCAATATAAAGAAAAAAAATTGCAATAAGATTATTTTCCAAAATCGTTCAGCCCTAGTAAACACCAGACTCTACTACCTTTCTAAAACTCAAGCTGGCTGTTTGTAATTTCTTTTAAATCATTTTATTTCAATTTGTCTAATTAATGTATAGTGGCATATCCATAGTTGTTAATAACTTCACAAATCAGTAAACTAACTATATAATAATATACAAAAGGTAAACAAATATATGGCATACTTACTTTGAAATGTTGAAGTAGGTCCTGGGTAGTTGCATGGCCCATGAACTGTGATCCATAGAATCTAGACTGGACGTGGTCATTTAACCAATAACGCACATGCAAGTCCAGTCGCTTGGTTTTGGTTGTCTGGTTCAGAGTCTCGTCAAACATAAGCACAAACGCACCGCATTTTTGGACTTCGGTGATGAGCTCTTTTTTTTATATATATGGCGCCAATCCAAATTTAGCTACGTATCTGGTTTTTCCACAAGTAAATGACTGAACAAGCCCCGAATCTGGAAACATTGCTTTGAACAGTTCTTCAATCCCGTCATTAGACCTGAATGAATGGTGGCTTGTCACGGTCCTCAGCACCCAAATCACCTCTGTTTCGGAGTGTTGGCGTGGAGCCACAAATTGCTCGGAGCTCAGACGGCACGCTTGTTGCAGGCTGTGGATTTCCTATTGTAACATTCAGCGTTGTACTGTTAACATCGATGCTTGCGGTGGAAACGGTGGAGCCATAGGCGGATCTACTGGGGTGGCATAGGGTGGCAAATGCCACCCTAAATGACAGCCTTGCCACCCCTGCTGCCACCCCAGTTGGCGGTAGGGGTGGCGAGGCTTATAAATTATGAATCATTTGAGAATTACGACCGCTAATTTCCAATGTCGGACTGCAGTGAATGCAGCACGAGATGACGCGAGAGCGACTGAGACTGATTGTTTTGAAAACCGAATGGGGCAAAGCGAGGGAGCCAGGGGTGATGGGGAGAGGAGACACGGGATGAAACAGGTAAAAATTGATTAACTATCTATCGAGAAATGAAATCATAATGAAAGCACAATGTTGCTAGCATAGCTGCAATGCCGATTTTGAGATGATAAAAATCAGGTTGCAGAACGTTATTTCTCTATCTATGATGTTAGTTAGGCCTGACGTCTCAGGCTCAGAAAGACATATTTGCTGTCAACTATGACAGAAAAGAGACAATCTAGTTTGGTTGTACTCAAGTCAAAACGCACAAAGGGATTGGATCTAAATAAAGTTGTGAAGCGTTTTGCTGAGCAACATGGAAATCACTGCATTCAGCTGTTATAGTCATGTTAACTTTATGTTTTGCTCTCTGGTGAGCCTTTACAGAGCTGTTACATTTTGTTTTGGCACCTGAGAAAATCTGATATTTCCTTTAATAAAACCAAAAGTGTTAAAAGTTAAAAATGTGATACTGGTGTGAATCCTGCTTAATATGAAGCAGTGTTGTTGTTTCTTTTTTTGTATATATAATATGAAACTATCCAGAAATGACCCGTATGAACCTACTCACAAGCAAAATGTATTTTTATGTTGCTTCTTTTCAGATTTGTGGAGATTTTGATGTAACATACAGAACCCGCCTTTTTGTTGATTTGTTGATACAGCAGTATGGAGGACCAACTCTGCCATATTTAAAAATAAATACAGGAATAAATAAATGCTTCATAAATAAATAAGCATACAATTAATTGCCACCAAAAATACAAACAACAAATAAATGTAAGTAGAAATTAAATTATACAGCTAGTCATAAAGGTATATAACTCTTTTAATTGGCTTCTTTATTTCTTTGCCTTTTTAATATTTACCTTATTTATTTTTTTGTCATTTATTATCTTCAACTTCATTTTTTAATTACTTATATTTTTTTAAGTATTTATTTATGTGCATGTTATCATATTTTTGTCTGTTTTATTCTTCCTTTGTATTTTTTTACCCTAGTTATTTCTTCGCCGCTATTTCTTTCTGCCTGCCATTATAATATAATTTCTAATTACATTTATTTGTTGATTGTATTTTTGGTGGCAATTAATTGTATGCTTATTTATTTATTGAGCATTTATTTATATCTGTATTTATTTTTAAATATGGCAGAGTTGGTCCTCCATATGCAGCTCTATCTACAGCTTATTTACATGCATGAAATGTCCCTTTCATGTTGCCGTAACTGCTGTTTGTCAAGTTACTGAGGAACAAATGGGGTAAATGTGTGTTCAGAGTAAACATTACATAGATGTCCAGTACCTTGTTTGGGTGCCTTGACCCGTTTATTTCTACTGTGTAGTAATGCTCACTGTAGTGCAGCTCAGTCCATAGATCTCTGATGGGGAACTTTTTCTTTCTATAGTTTCTTCTTGTGCAAATGCTGCAAAGCTGCCTCTCTGACAGTCAATCTCACACATCTGCGACTCAGCACCTGTGTCTTACCTTAATACCTTTCCTGTCATAAGGCCCCTCTAGAAGTAGTGTTATCATTCTTCTATCTCCTATTAAGTGAGATCACATTGTACGATGTATTATTAATATGAACTGTTTCACATGAAACACTAGTACTGTACATACTATTCTCACCAAACTGTGATAACTGTGATTAAATTCAGTGTAAACAAATGCCATATGTTGCCACCCCTAAAAAATTCCTGCCCCCCTCTTGCCACCCCATAAATATTTTTCTAGATCCGCCCCTGGGTGGAGCAGAAACTAGCAATTGCAGGCTGCTGGCGTGCTTTTACATAGTCTTTATGTTTTTTACTCTGTAGGTGAGATTCAACTGCTCTGATCCCCGTTGTCCCAAGTTTGAAATTCTTCCGACATACAATGCAGCTAGCTTCATAAGCGCTGCCAGGCACCGACCGTAACCAAGAATATTCATTCTTTTCTAGCCATTAGTGATTGAACTTCTTGTTTCCCCATGTTTAAGTAGTCGAGTGGCTATCGGTGCTGTATTCGTCCTACCTGTAGATGCTTTAGCCTACGCCATCAAGAGCTGCGCGATACGAGCTGCGCAGTAGGCTACGCTCTGACCTAACCATAGACAACGCAGCGCATAGGCTACCGGAAAAAAATATTCGACCTCGCAGAACAGATTGCCCGCATTTTCACGGTGACATGACACACAAACATTTAAGACCCATGCAAAATTAATTTAAGACAATGTAATACTTTTTAAGGCCTTATTTTGAGGAAAATTGATTTACGACTTTTTAAGACTTTTTAAGGACCCGCGGCCACCCTGTCTAAGGCTTTACTGACAATTCTCTTTTTCAAATCAAAACTTAAACTTTAAATTTACTCCGATGGGCTCTTAGTTGGTCATATAACATTACTGTCTAACTAACAATTAAATAAATAAAAAAATCGTGTAAACAATCCATAGATAAACAAGCATAGAAATTTAAGAAGTCACCAAATTTCTGAGGTAAAATATGGAAGATTTTTTAAATACTCTGCTGTAACTCTGAAAAGACAGTAAGTATAGAAAAACGTCACCGTTTCTCTCAGTGAATCGATTTCTAATGAGTTTAGTGACAAAAAGTCAAACCAGACGTTATTTATAACGAATATAGACGAAGCAGGTGGAGTTGGCTAATTATTCGGGTCATTTATAACAAGTCTACAAGGTCGCCACATCAGATTCAACAAATGTTTTTAACTCTAGTTAATGATCATTGTAGACGTGATGCGGTCAAACTGGAGCCAAAGTGAGCGCACGTTCATTAGCTTTGCACATTTGCATAATTACCACCCCAGTAATTCCATATAAGGTTACGACTTCCTGCGGTTGTCAGAAGAATTTAAGGACCAGCAAAAGCCAAGCAGATGGGATTAAATCAGAAGAGCTAATAATGCTGAGGTTGCTTTGTTGCAGAAGTAAAAAAATAAATAAATGAAAAGAGAAATAATTTTATCTGAAAATGATGTCAAAGCATGTCTACACTGGAAAACGATCTAGAAATAAGTAAACATTTCTTAAATTAAGTGAATTTGCCATAAATTTGAGTAGGTAAATGAGATAGTTTGCCAATGGAATGAGTATTTTTACTATTAAAATAAGATAATTAAATCATATGCACTTGAAATAAGACAATGAAATTGTGTTTTCTTATTTTAAGTGTAAATTGGCTTGTTCTAATGGCAAAATGTCTTTTTTACCTCCTCAATCCAAGAACAAATTGACTTATTTTAAGAGAAAATGACTAATCTAGCAAAAAGCAAGACAGTCAATGAAACTACTGGAAACAAAAGGTGCAACATGTGATGTAAAAACTTGATTTGAGTTTTCCATCAACCAGCATGACAGCATTCAGCTAAATATCCTACTAATACTCTGTATGTCATCCCTTTATCGCTCTCCATCCCCCTCATAAAACACATAAACATACACTGCAAAAATAGAAATCTAAATAAGTAATTTTTCTTTAAATAACTGCATTTTTTCTTGGATTTAGGAGGTAAAAGAGACATTTTGCCAATAGAACAAGCCAATTTACACTTAAAATAAGAAAAAACAATTGCATTGTCTTATTTCAAGTGTATAATATCTAGATACCTTATTTTAATATTAAAAATACTAATTCCATTGGCAAATCATCTTATTTACCTGCTCAAATTAGGGGTTAATATATGGAAGTAAATCTGTGTCGCTGGGATTTGAATTAAAAATGCTACTGAAATTTAAATGTTGTATATTTACTTACTGTTTCAGTGTTAAAATATATTCAGAACACATTTTTGACCTAAAAAAATATTGATTGTCATTATTTCTTCACAGTTGAAATTTCATTTGTTATTTTCTTTTCAAGCTAAAAATTCACATTACTATTTTAAAGTGATTACATTTTCAATACTTATTTTTCAAAAATCTGCATGTAAAAAAATTCAACCTTTTAAAATTCAAACTCAATATTTTCAGCCTCCTGAGATTCAACTGGCTCTATTTCACCGTCTTAAATTCGGCGTCTAAATTCAGTGTAAAATGGGAAGGGTTACTTCAGGTCACAGACATTAGCAATGGATTGTGGCGTCCAACACCCAGCCAATCCCGTTACGTTTTCTTAGTCACGTGACGTGGCGCTTGTGGCGCTCATACGGAAGGAAAACCAGCATGACGTAGCCGGTCATGCAAGCTAACGCTAACTCAACTACAGAAAAATGAAAGTAATACACTCACCGTTAAGTTAGCGTTAGCTAACGTTAGCTAACTCAACGGTGAGTTTATTACTTTCATTTTTCTGTAGTTGAGTTAGCGTTAGCTTGCATAACCGGCTCCGTCATGCTGGTTAAGACGGTGAAATAGAGCCAGTTGAATCTCAGGAGGCTGAAAATATTGAATTTGAATTTTGAAAGGTTGAATTTTTTATATGCTGATTTTTTTTAACACTGAAAAATAAGTATTGAAAATGTAATCACTTTGAAATAGTAATTTGAATTTTTAACTTGAAGAGAAAATAACAATGAAATTTCAGCTGTGTAGAAATAATGACAATTAATTTTTTTTTAGGTCAAAAAAGTGTTCTGAATATATTTTAACACTGAAACAGTAAGAACAAAAAAACAACATTTAAATTTCTGTGGCATTTTTAATTCAAATCCCAGCGACACAGATTTATTTCCATATTGATACCCTTCATTTAAGACATTTTTACTCATTTTGAGATCCTTTTTGCAGTGTAAAAATTTTCATTCTATTATTATCTCTGTACCACCCCTACTTAGAAACACGGACTCAATTCTCCATTTTAAAATGCAACTCAAAACTCATCTGTCTAAGATTGCATATTCTCTTTAAATATCAATTTCACTGTCACAGCCTCTGTATTTTTTAAATGTTTTTATTTTGTTTATGACACTGTGTTTTTTAGGCTTTTTTACGGTGACCTTGAGTGTCCAGAAAGGCTCCTTTTAAATAAAGTGTATTATTATTATTATTAAAAAAACAATCCACTGGACTTTGTTTCCAGGTTTGAAGACGTTTCTCTTCCATCCAGGAAGATTTTTCAATTCAAAATGTCAGAAATAGAGTTAAGTTCCATCAAAGCCTTGTTTTTATTCATATAGTGGCATCTGGCTGTTTTTTTTTAAAGGTTACTTTATACTTTAAGTAGTTTTTGGAGCACATACTTTTTCACTTTTACTTGAGTAAAGAGGTCAAGTTGATCCTTCAACTTTTACCAGAGTGTTTTTAAACTGCAGTATTTATACTTCTACTTAAATAACAAATTTGTGTAATTTTGACTCCACTGCGTGCCGCGCAGAAAATAATCCTGTTTGGAGGAGGGGATAATGATGCATTCAAAGTGTGTGGAAAAAGTGAGATAGATGCAGACAGCTTAATGTCGATGGTTGCGATAGAGCTATTTTAACTGCTCTATAACAGGAAAATTCAAGATACATCGAGTATATTGCAATATTTAGCCCAACCCTGGTCTCCCATGGATATCGACATGCCAGCTGCAAGTTTAGTGACCCGGTGGTTCTGTAATCATTAAATAAAAAAAATATTTATAATTGCAGAGTTGCATAATCTATAAGATGTAACCTAATAAAATGGACAAGGGCTTCAAATGAACAACAAATCTGGTCGATTAGTGAAAAACTGGGTTTGGATAACAGCTGACTGATTGCGCAAGACTCGTACCTTAAATCTGGAGCACTCATAAAATTTATTCGTACCTGAGAGAAATTAGAAATAGGAGAAAAATGGTGAGTTTTATTGTCTTATGTGGCCCTATAAGCAACAAAACAGTACATGCTAAAGGTCAAGTATGAGTCTTAGCAATAATAAAGTCCCTAATGCCTTATTCGTACGCAATTACACGTTATATTAAGAGGTTTGGCATAAACAGAGAACATCTGTATAAACATTCCTCCGAGTGTCAAAGCAACCGCTGGCGTCGACCAGCGCACGTGAATTCCAGTAAGCTTTCGACATGATATTCCTGTGCATGTGCAGTTACGTAATGCGATGTTGAGACTATAAAACAACTGAGAAGACATGAGAGTTTCGGGGGATAACTGAATTGTAACGGTGCAGTGCTGAATGTATGAAGTGTTTAAGACAGCTGTATGAAATCGGTTTGTAATTAAATGTTTCCCCCCTCCGGATGATAAAATGGTGTGAATCGTGGCCTTCTTTCTGTCATAAGGGAATTCTACCAATGAGCTTCCATGATACATTTTCTCCTAAATCACCCATTTGCTTTTCTTAGTAGTTTTCATCCATGTTATTTCATTTGCTAGCTGCTAATTTCTCGTTCTTTGCTTCCCTTTAGGAGGCGATCAAAAGAGCAGTCCATCACCATCCACATGGGCTTAGCCGTGTCCCTGGCCGTCCTCAGCCTGTTCTTCTTCTTTACCGGGGTTCTGGGCAACGTGGAGGTGGAGAGCATGTGTAGCTGGGTGGGCGCCATGCTCCACTACGCCCTGCTCAGCTCCCTCACCTGGATGGGGATAGAAGTGTTCAACACCTTCTGGATGGTCTACATGGTGTTCAGGCCGTCCCCGAGACCCTTTGTGTGGCTCCTCATCGGGTTTGGTGAGCGTATAAAGGATCGTTTAAGGAAATGAATTTAAGGTTGATGCTAAGCTTTAGTTCTCTCCCAGGTCTCCCAGCTGTCCCCGTTGCCATCCTCTCTCGTGTGGGAAACATCTATGGTGTTGTAGAGATTGTGCCAGCCGACGACATCTCCACTCCGTATCGGATGTAAGCTTCATCACAGCTGATCTATCATTTTGTAGATCTGTCTTTGGCCAAAAAGCAGTCCTTTCTAACTGAGAAATGGAAGCTGTACTGATCAGCTAGAGGAACGTCTCTCCTTTCAGTTTCTAGATTAATGGTTTGGTTTTTCTGCAGGTGTTGGATGAACATGAGCGACCAAAAGACAATCCTGGCTGCATCTTTCACCACCATGACGATGCTGGTCATCTTGGTGTTCTCTGGGGTCATCATGCTGTTCCTGGTCTACCGGGAGATCCGCACCAGGGACGAATGGAAGCAGAGCCGAGTGGCTTTCCTCAGCATCTGGGGCCTGAGCTGCCTCTTTGGAACAACTTGGGGTCTCATCTTCCTGAACTTCAGTCCCCTCGCTGACTTTTACAACTTCCTCTTCTGCTTCCTGAACTCTTTTCAAGGTTTGTGCTGATGGTGGACTTCCTGTTCTGGTTACAGTCTCTCAAGCTTCTCCCACTGACTGGAGATTCTATTGTTTGACTTTTTGAATCTGTTGAAGGACGGGGACGTTTTCATTGTTCTCTCGGAGATAATGGTCACGTGTTTGTTGATAAGGGTTCCTTCTGTCAGTGTGGGAATGATAGAGCGGGCTTAGCTAATCAAGGTCTCTGTTAGGAATAAAGATGCTTCCTCACACTAAACCTTAATATCCACAAAGTTATTTTCAGCTCCTTTTTTTATATGCTTGATCAAATCTGACAGCAGGGAGAAGATTAAACACAAGCAGAACACAATAGACTGACCCAAAACTAAAAAATAAGCTAGAAAAGCACTATGAGAGCAAATTTTAAACTCGGGTTAAATTATAATTATTTGTTCGTTAGCATGAGCCATTTCTTGTAGTTAAAAAAATACTTTAAAATCGGTTAATAAGGTTTCAAATAATCCTGCTAACAAACCAACATGATTCCCTTTTCTTTTGTTTTTTTGTCTTCAGACTTTTTGAGTCCGATTTAGAGGCTGTCAATAGCCACTGCTGCCACCTTCTGGTTTAGTGCGGAACTGCTTGTTCCTCCAAATATCCCTTTCTCACTTTGTCAAAAAGAAAAAAAATCCTGTATCCAGATTCTGATCTCGATCGTCACCAAAAGTTAATGGATTGTTCCTTGGAATGAGATAAAAATCTCATTAAAATCCATCCATAGCTTTTTAATTTTTAATTTTAAAAGCAGAAAAATAAAAGAACTTGATAGTTTTAGGATCGCTTTGTACAGCAGGTGGTTAAGTTTATACTTTTCTCACATTATCCACTCATTTTTGGATCCGTCTGCATCAGTTTGTTTTTTTGGATAAATTTGAAGTCCTTCCATATTTTTTTATTTATTAATAATCTTATATTGATTTATTTCTGTTTTTGATTGGATATTTTTTATGAAGAAAGAATCTGTTTCCTTTAGGTCCTTATTAGTTTCCTTTTGGTTTCCTTGGTAATTAACTACAGTATTAGTTCCTGATCAGTTACTCTTTGTTTCCAAGGTAACCAAGGCTTAGTCCCATTATACACTGCAAAAATGATCTAGAATTAAGTAAAAATGTCTTAAATTAAGGGTATTTACCCTTTACGATGATTTGCCAATGAAATTAGTATCTTTACTCTTAACATAAGATAATTAGATACCGGTAATATGAACTTGAAATAAGACAATATAATTGTTTTTTCTTCTTTTACACTGGAAAAAATCGAAATCTAGTTAAGTCATTCTTTCTTAAAATAAGTGCATTTGTTCTTGGATTGAGGAGGTAAAAGAGACATTTTGCCAATGGAACAAGACAATTTTCATTTAAAATAAGAAAAAATAATTGCATAGTCTTATTTTAAGTGCATATTATCTAATTATCTTATTTTAAGAGTAAAAATACTCATTCCATTGGCAAACTACCTCTTTTACCTACTGAAATTAAGGGTAAATACACTCAATGTAAGACATTTTTGCTTATCTCTAGATCGTTTTTCCAGTGTAAATGTAAATTGTCTTGTTCCATTGGCAAAGTGTCTCACTTTCGTCCTCAATTGGAGAAAAAATGCACTTATTTTAAGTAAAAGAATGCATTTTTTTGCAGTGTAAGGAACTACCCATTAGTTCCTTATTATTTCTCTAAGCATCTCTAGTAGTTGATGTAATTGTGTGAATGCTACTTTAAAGTGTTAACCACTTATTTAAAATCGTGCTATCCTTAAAAGAGACGATGAACAGATTATAGAAAATAAATCTAAATCATTAATTTCAGTCATCAGAATGGTCGATGGCTCAGTTTTGTACCAAATTTAAAAAATCCATGACTCTAAAAGCATGAAGGAGGGAATGAACCCTGTTATGTTCTGTCTCCCAGGTTTCTTCCTGATGGTGAGGTTCTGCATGCTGGACTGGATCCGCAGACAGGCCAGCAAGTCGGTCCTGGGCAGCACCAGCTCTGGATCTGTCAAACAACACATGCTGCAAACCACAGAGAAGAGTTAACCGCACTGAGTGAAACATGTGGAGTCCAGTTTAACCTGTTTATTAAAAAAAAAGAGAACGATTATGAGATTATGGGAGTCTGTTCTGAGATCATATCAACATAAACGAAAAGATTCCCTCTAGATCCAGTGTTGTCAGGTCGGGTGAAGATGTGTGGGAGTTTATGCTGTATGTACCAGCTCACCTGGTGAGACTCCGCCCATCGCTCTGAGCGTCCAGGTTATGATGAGGGAATGAAATCCCTTATAAACTACTGATTGTATCCTATTAAGCTAAAAGAGAGTCTCATACAGACCAGAATGTTATCCAAACACCTCTATATCATCATTATATCTGTTTCTAATCCATCAGCCATAATAACATGACCGACCACCTGATTATATGAAATCGATCAGCTTTACGTCTCCAGAAGACCTCTGGACTGTCTGGTCTCTGACGAAGGACAGCTGGCTTTGTTCTGTTAGGGTCTGGCTCTGAAATGTGAATATGAATTTACTTCCTATAGATGCAACCAAATGCATATTTTACAGACTTTTCAGAACACATTTAAATCATCTAAGATGAATTTGTAGTGGCGCCAGATGGGGGACGACGAGTCCATGAAGCAACTTGTGGCTAAAGAGGCTTAAAATTCCATCAGATGTTTAAAAATAAGCTGAGCAAATTCATTTGGATAAACCCTGTGTGATGAAAGGCCAATCAGAACGTCAGAATACATTCTAGCAGGCAGTGAACACACCGTAACCAGGCTCTACTAGGTCACACTGTAACACTCTTCAGTGTGGGAGGTGTTACAGAATGAAAAAGACTTCCAAGTTATTTATTATCAGCAGAAGGGAGGCGTTTGTTAATAATCTCAAACAGTTTTTCAGTTCAGAAAGATTTACTCTTTACTACGCTTAAGAACCGACCAACTATATCTGATTCAATCAGCCTGTGAGAGAGAGCGAGACTAACAGCCGATAACAGGAAGGCTCGACTTATTGCAGCTTTATCCAGCCTGTTTGTTGTGGAATTTGCTGGATTAGAAAATGTTGGCCCTTTCCTGTTGTTGATGATACACATGGAGACTGCTAGCAATGCTAACAGCTAATATAAGATTCGAAAGTCTTTTTACTATATTATTTAGGGATGCACGATATCGGTATCGGCCTTAAAACTGAATATCGGACATCAGCCACCCCACCGATATTTAACCCGATATTTGATCAGTTTCTAAGGTCTAAAAAAAATTTAAAAATACTACTTCTTCTTCTTCCTCAAAAACTTCTTTTTTACAGACTTAAAAACTTCTAAAGACGAGGGAAAAAATATTGATCCATTAAAATATCCCAATATCTTCATATGCTGATATATTGCCATTTAAAAACACCGTATCAATCTCTTTTACTAATGAAATATTGCTATATGTCATCGTTATGCTACGAAATCCCCCGAAAATTCGCAAAATGTTGCCATATTTTTATATGTTGATATATTGACGCGGTATCGATCTATTTTACTAACAAAATCTCACAAGAATTTGCAAAATATCACGAGAGTTTGTAACAGAACGATGAAATTTCACCAGATTTTGAAAGTAAAATAGATCGATACCGCGTTTTTAAAAATCTATTTGATATCAGCATATGGAAATATATTTGAGTATATTATTTTTCAAAGTGTCAGAAATGGATAACAAAACTGCTATTTTCAATGACTACTTATTTTTGTCCAGCTTTAACATCGGTATCGATATCGGTTATCGGCTACATGAGTTTTAAAATATCGGCATATCGGATATCGGCCAAAATCCCAATATCGTGCATCTCTAATATTTTTTCTTCCGAATGATTTAATTTTTGTTTCAGAATACAAAAATTCTGCCTTCCATAGACGGCTGGCTCACACACGGTGTTATATTACCTCCGGATCAATAGTTTCCCCGACAGGCAGCGTTTAAAAATATCTCCCATTAAATGGATATATTACAGAAATCAATCCGCTACAATCCCTTAGCAGAGGAAAGCTGTACAAACTGAAATAACAGTTAGAATCTGATGAGTCTATCTCTATAATCAATGCTTTCTGTAGTAAATCAGGATGATATGTTATGTTCTGGTTCATGCTAATGAAATAAAACCAGGGGTCAGACGTTCCAAAGTTGGCGCCGTTTGTGGATCATTTAAGGCGTTTTTGAAGAAGGTGATTTTGTCGTCTTTGTGGCTGTGAACCTGTTGTTTATCCTTTTTTTTTCCATCACCTCAGGGTGCGTCGCTGTGAAGCTACAAGCTAATGCTTCTCTCGTTCCCTTTTGTAGTTTTCGTTTTGTTTGGGATTCAAGAACTGAGACTAAAATCTAGAACATTTGTTAATTTTCTTTTTATTGTTCCTGCTTTATGAGCGAGTTTCGGTTTCAGATTTATTCCTCGGTCTCTTCCTTTGAGAGGGAGGTGATATTTTCACCCGCAGACGATGAATTCATGGGTTTTTCTCTTCATGTGTTTATATAGAAATGTATGACAGAATACAGGAGTAACCCGCGTGAACCCGCCCCCACCCCCTCCGTTTACTCAGGACGTTAAACTCAGGTCTGGAGCCTGCGTCTGCAGAATCCCTAGACTGGTTCTAGTAAAGAATAAAACGTTTTAAGTTGAGATTAAGGAATATTTTGGAACAACATTAAGCTTTATTATGAGGCACAGAAACATGAAGCTTAATATATAACCCCTACTGTTCTATAATTGCATTGTACATAAAGAAAAATACGTAATTATTGATGCGCTCCATTAGATAAGCTTTTATATTTGAAATGTTTATTTTGCTTCTTTAATATCTAGTTGATAAGCGTTTTGAAATAGCACTTTAGACTGTATTTGTTAGCATCAATTAGCTTTTTGGGCATTGGTGAGCAAAAATAAATGTTTGTAGAAAATATATTTGAATTAGTCAATTGTATTCAAGAAAAAAAATAAATGAAATGTATTCTAACTACTTGTTTTGAAATAAAACGTTCGTCTACAGGTTTAGGTTTTTTGGTGAAAACATTGTTTTCCTTCCCAGAAGGACACACGGGTTTTATAGATGCTGTGATGTTTGCACTGTTTTATTTTAAAATATATATATTTTCAGTTGATCTGTTTGTGTATCTTTATCTAGATGTTTATATGAAATGTTAATAAAAAAAAACATTTGGTTAAAGAAGAACTTGTTGTGTTTGGATCCCACTCTTCTTATTTCCTGTTTCTTTCAGGTTAGAAAAAGCTGATTGGTTCAAATTCCTGTTTATTATCTTTAACGTGAAAATCTACAAGCGGAATGAGGGAAATTCAGCAAAACTAACAAAAAATATTTAATTAGGTTAGAACCTAAATGTGATTAGCCAAACTAAGTATAGTGAATTCTGTTGTTTGACTTGTTTAAAACCCATTTTTGGGTCAGAATGTTTTTCCAAAAATAGTAATATTCTCTCTGCAAATGCATTTCATGAAAAACAAACTGAATGTGAATTCAACTCGAAAGAACAGTAATGGAAGGAAAGCAACATGCCGTCATCTCAATTTATGAGTTTTACATTTAAAAAAAACGTATAACAATATTCACTATTTCTGATGAGTTTTCATGATATGAAATGGCAAAATTTGCTTTGCAAAAATACATCTTATATAAAAACGTAAGAAAACTGACAAATATTTTAGAATTTTTTACATAATTCGTACGACAATCCCTAAAATCACTGAGGTTTTTTTTTTTAATCAACGTAAACTGATGAATTCAGTTCACAGATTGTGTATCACTGCTGGATCTAATTCCTAGTTGATATTTCATGATTCATTTAGTGCTGAATTTCTTTTTAAAGAAATAAATGTTCCGAGATACAAGTCTAGCTCTTTGATGACTCATTAGTGGTTTATGTGATAAACCCACAAAGTAGCACAACTGTACTGAATAAAAGAAAAGAAATGATGAATAATCTGAAAGGTAATCTAAAAATCAACCCTTTTTACTAATTATAATCCAGCATAACCAGCAGTTTTTGTGAATGGTGAAGAAGCTGCTCTAATTAAGTTAAGGCAAAACTATTCCAAACTTTGATTATGAAAAAAAGACCAATTAATTAATTTGATTTTAAGTTTCAGCAACAAAGAAAGATTTTAAATTGTTTAAAATTGGAATTTAAATTATATTAAAATTAGCAGGTTGACTTTGTAAAGTGTGAAGTATAATTCAATTCTATTCAGTTTATTTCTATAGCTCCAATTCACATCATGTCATCTCAGGTCACTTTCCAGTTCACCAGATCATCCAGTCAGATTGATTCAAAGTTTTCTATCTAAGGAAAACCAGCTGATTGCATCGACTCATTGACTCTTCAGCAATCCCTCACACTAAGCATGCTTGGAGCGACAGTGGAGAGGAAAAACTCCCTTTGAACAGGAAGAAACCTCCAGCAGAACCAGGCTCAGTGTGAGCGGCCATCTGCCGAGGCTGACTGGTAATCTGCTTTCTCTGTGTAAGGGGTTACCATAGTTACCGCCTGATGTTTGCAGGCTGTAACCAGTTTAATCTGTGTTTGAGTTTAGCTTGTCTGCAGATACAACTAAAAAAAATAAAAGAAAAACTAATTATTCTTTATTGGTTTTAAGCTCAGCTCACGCTGGAGATTCTGCCATATTTAATAAGTATAGATCAAAGGTGTGAGGATGGCCCAGTCAAAGTCCAACCCCATTTCACAGGAGACCCCCCCCCCCCCAACCAATTCAACTCATCTTTTGCGATTTTTTGCAAAGGACCGAAAATAAAACTTTGTTTTATAGCTATGCGAAACTGGTAGAGACAGTTTTAGGGTGTTACATCTGAAAGTGGTACAAAGGTTTAACTCGAAATACAGACAATAAAATACAAATACACAATACATAGTTTAATTTAGTTTTAAAAATAAAAATCAGCTTTAATCTACCTTCTAATTTACAATTTAACAATAAATTAAGCTGATCTGTTGTATAAAATTTCATGCATGTTTGTGGTTTAATAGAATAGAATAGAATGGAAGCGTTTCAATAG